AAGCATCGCATTGTGCCTCGCGCGACCGCGAACTGTGTCAATTCGATTCCATTGAATACAAACTGTTCAAAGGATGACACCTGTTTCTTGACGAACGTCCGCATTCCCCGTCTTTCTCTCTTTCTGTTTGCCGCTACCGTTTCGCAAGATTTCTAGGGGTTCTCTGTCGCAATGAATTCCGATAGCAACGAACTACTTACCACCGGAACAATGAACCTCTGAGTCTAGGTTACACGGCATACCCATTTCCAAACCATTTTCCTCTTTATGCAAAATACATATTTCTCATGAATATTTTGTCAATATTCCGCAGCTATGGCATTGCATCTTCGAAAGTTGACAAAATTAAAATTCTCGCGACGGTGGGTTACCAGAGATGGCGGGATAGCAGCACGTTGGGAATTCAGAAAAAGTCGAGCGACGAGATACGCGGTTCAGCGGAGCCCCATTATGTAATTGCCGAGGATGTAGGGTAAGTGTGCATTTGAGTCAATTGGCAGGGCCGAGCGTGCCTATTTAGTTACACCGCGGCGTGCGCGTGTGTGGATGTGTGCATTCGTCCGTGCATAGATGCATTTACGTGCACCGGGCTGCGTCACAAGCCAGGACCACGTGTGCGCTTTGCTCGCTGTTGCGCAACCTTCGGCACAAGGTTGAGCGCGATAGCGTCTGCCTCGTTTTTCTTGTACCGCCCGCTAGCGAGTAAGAAAGTGCGCACGCGTGCGAGCGAGTCGCGAGTGAAACTTCCATGGTGTCGCAACAGAGACGAGCAGGCTTCTTATCGAGGTTGAGTAACGAATAAAGAATCATTTTTGTCACGTTTTGTATTTGATTTCAAAGTATAAAGAATGAAGTTTCACAGAAGTGAAAAAGAATGGAAGGAATATTAATTTTGAGTCATTTTAACGTGTACATCTTTTTTAAATATTTTATGAGACACGTATACATATATACATTGAATGTGAAGTCGTTTTTAGTGTTTCTCCAATTCCAGGAGGGCTTGTATATACGTGGAAATGACCGCAGAGACTTGTTGATGCAATTTCTTGGCAGTCATGCTAATAGTTTCCGCGTCTACTCGAAAATTGCCAAGTAATGGCTGCTCTGATTCAAGTGGTTCTACCCCAGAAAATGAAGATTACTACAGCCATACTAATTCAGATTTTCTCTTAATTCTACAGTGCAGAATACTTCGATAAATTTATCAACACTCTCATTCGATATAATAGAGTCTGTCCAAGTCAGTCGAAGTTTGAAATTCTTCGTGTAGACTAGATGTTACTTTCCAGCATACGCCACTTGATATCCTCAAAAATAGCACAGTAACCTGATCAGCAAAAATCTCTCCTTTATCATGCGACACATTGTGGCGGGTGTATAAGCAAACCTGTTTGCTCGATTAAAAGTCACAGTTTGCTTTAGGACGCTCAGGTAGCTCAGGAAGGTGTGTGGTTTGAACGTTCTCCTGATAGAAGGTGCTATCATCAACAACAACGAAGTGTGTGCTTTCGAAAGGTACACTTACGATAGATTCACGTCGTTCTGTGTCATCTCGCATTTTTCCTGGAGAATCAAAAAAGATCGTTCGAAGATCAGTCACAACAATTTCACACAAAGTTCGCTAAGCGGGTTTTCCTTTCCCCCGCCATTCGATTCGACAGGCCAGGTCAACGTTTCGCTCGAGTCCGAAAAATATAAACAGGAGGCGATTCGTTTTCTTGGACCCGATGCTAAAACTGTCTCCAGAAGCGAGGGATTACTGTAACTCGACGTTCGTCGAGGAGAATCGCACGGGCGATAAAACAACGCAATCTCGAACAAGCACGGTTGTCCTTTTTCCAGTTCTCCTGCGCGTTTCCAGCTGGCTCGTGAAAAAGACTTTTACGTTCGGCCAGGTGGCTCAACGAAGCGTACCATCGACGGGGAACACGACGCTGCGATACCGCAGTGCGACGCCTCGAACTTAGCCAGAACAAGAGGGACTTGCTTAACGATTCCGTCGTTCCCAGAGGATGCTTAGCATGCGGTAAGACTTAATAAATCGCTCAATTTTACGATCAATTAAGCACGTCGCCGTAACCAGTGCCGGTGCATTGTTTCGTGAAACTCTTCCAGTGAATACAAAGCAGTCGGCACGGGATCCACGGAGATAACTCCGTTCTATGGTACCAAAGTGACATGCAATAACTGTTGGCTAACCGCCATTTCATTTCCTCCCTCTCCCTCGAACCCCCGCCTAGGTTTCCCGCTTGCCACCTTTTTCTCTGGTCTCGTTGGAACTTGCCTAATCACTTTATCGAATGGCTTTCATGAAAAGGTTCCTGCAGGACGGAAAAACCCCGCTGGATCATCGCCCTACGGTAGAGCATTATTTCACCGACGACGACCGTCGCTGTCAGAAACGGCCGACCTTTCCTCGCGAATGGAATACAAAAAGGAAGGAAGTTTTTCCTAGGGAGGAGCGGGAATCGTATCTGCCCCTGGCCAAAAGCCCGGGCTCCCTCGAAAACACTTCCAGTTAAGGTAATTTCTCAGTTAAATTATCTCGTGTGCCTCTGTGATATTTACTGTTCGGACACGTTACGAAATTTCCGAAAAATATTCTGTGTAAATTTGTCCGCATGAAATTCGTATAAACATCAAAAGAACTTTTTCCACGCGTTTCATTCACTTTAGGACAAGGAGTAACTCTATTTCGAGTACTGCGAGTTTCGTTCCCAAGTCTGTATATTCTTAAAGCTAACGAGAGGTACGGGGAACAGAAGGTATGCTGTTCGATTTGGCAAAACCGTCGAAGCTCGAAATTGAGCACGGTTCGTTTGAATTTGGCATGGAGAACCGAGCTCTCGAAAATACGATTTCAATGAGCCCGTTGATCGTTGCTACTTGAACGCGGCAGTAGTACGCACGAGTAAGTAGAATCGAGTCTACTTCCGCGATGTAAAAGTTTATTTCCATTGTACAGCAACGGCTCGATACGTAGACGCGGAGTACACTAGTGCAGGTTGATTCATTTAATCTCCCTCGCGACCAATTTTCGTGCACTGTAGCACGAAGATTCATAGCTCTACAATTCATTTTATTACCAAGCGAGAATAACCCTTGGTGAAAAATTTTATTTACGATTCGAACATGCATCCGGTTCCTTCCACACGAAAGATGTAAGTCAGTCACTTAATCTGCAAAAGACAGGCTACAAAAACAACACGATCATCATCCTAAACACTCTACACGCCCAAAGAATTTGAACCCTGTCGATCACCAATCACGCTCACCCTTCGTGCACGAACGCCAAGTGCGCGCAACCCCCGAACAACCCCTCGACTCGCAATTTCATCGAGCTTCCTTTTCACGAAGCTCGTCCATTTTTTTTTTTTTTTTTTTTTTTTTTTAACCATTTTGTTTCGATCCCCTCGCGACGTCAAAGTAACAACAAGGGTGACACTTCGCGTTCCGATCAGTCCCGCAGCAGAGACGATCAGCTTTGAGTTTCGATTCGAACGGCTCGCGGGGTCGAAATTCCACGATAACGAAATTCCCCGCCAGCGTGCGGCGGCCAGCGACGTACTTTATTGGCCGTCATATCTGTTGTCGACAGAGACAGGCTTTCGAACGATTAATTATAAACAACCAGCCGCAACAATGGCTTCGCGTAATTAAAGCGAGCGGTCGTTTCCTTCTCCCCCTGTAACCGCGCCGCAAACCTTCCCGTCCGACCACCGTCGCTCCTACCGATGTCAAAGCGGACCGTTGTCAATCCACCACCGCCCATCCCCCACCCCCGCGCTTTTGATCTATCTGGGATCCCCTGGTGGAAGAAGGATACGAAAAAGCGCGCGGACACTGTCGATTAGATTGCTACTGTTTGGTTTCTCCAGCTTTTGTGACGAATCCCATAAACTGAGGGACGTAGAGGTGTTTGAAAGGGGTTAGTTTTGAGGGTAGGAAAAATTTATCTTAGGTTGACCGTGTGTTTGGATAATACTAGAAATTTTGTATTCTTTTCTCCTTTCAGTATTTATTTATACCCCTGGAGAAGATTGGACGTGAACAACGGAAATGTTCAGTTTCTTATAAATAAATTGCGTTTCGTGTATGTTACTTCGTAGTAAAGAAAATTTCATTTTATATCCATTTATTTTATTTTATTTCATCTGATATTTGAATCTTATATATTTGTGCGTTGTGACGTTTTCAATTTGTTGTATTATGATGGAATTCTTACGCAAGAAACTATAAAAATATAATAATTAATTCCGTTCGTATTGCAATAAGTTGACGCTAATGTTTATTCCCAACGAACCACTAAGATTACGTTTCAATATTCTGATCCCCGATCCTGATAATTCCATAACGAATACCGCAATAAAGAAAGTGGAATTCCAAAAGTTTCTCGCGGCAATTTAAGTTTCACCAACGGACTAGTAACTCTCCATCAAATTGCTACAACGATCCAGATACTGAATTATCTCGAACAGCAAATTCGAAATCACAAATTAGATCTGAAATTAATTGCACCTTTAGATCCGATCTTAATGCTCGCCAAAGTCAATTAGCAGAGGATCAAAACCACAATTAACAACGCCGACGACGTCGCCAAGTGGAATTAAGTTCGTTCGAAATGGCGTTTGTTAACATCTTTTTCCATTTAAACGTTTCCTTTTAGAACGCGTTAACTCCTAGTTACGCTGGCCGTGACGTAACGAACTACTCGTTAGAATTGCTCGTTTCGAAAGAATCCGGCTGGCAGGATGAGGTATTCGCGAGAAAACTATGCTCGAATGAATGAAACTGTAGCACTTACCAAGGTTAGTGGATCGTTGACGTAACTAACCAGCATAAAATTATAGCTTCATGGTTGACGCGGAGTGTCTGACGCTAGTGTCTGTTTTCACTTTCGGAGTCTAGAGAAGTCAGAGTCACGAGAGATCTACTTGAGGATGATAAACGTCACGATGACCGTTGACCAGGTGAGAGAGCAAAATTATTTCGGTACTCACCATTTATGTAATTAAATTAGAAGCTCTTAAGTCTCCCTCTCTCTTACCTGAAACAGAAACAATAAAATCTCGTTATTTGGTGGTTCGTCGATCCCTTTTAAATTGCGAGGAGAAAACAAAAGAGCAAAGAGGATATTCCAACTCCGTAAAACGGTGTTTCGCGCAACACTGGCCGAACGCGGCGGAATGTAGTTGAAATTAATTCTTCCCCTGTACAATCGAATAGCATGCACTCACCCGTAACTCAGTTGCGCAAGGCCAGCGGTAATTTAACGTCGGAGCATGAAAGAACACGGAATAGTTAAACAGCGGGCGTCTCTGCAGAGTCTATGCGTAGCCGCAAACAGTCGCGAAAGTTAAAACGACTTTTGACCGGACGCAGTTGCATATTCCACCATAAAAGTCTCGTTAAGGGAGAGAACAGCGGAGGGGGACTTGTAAGATTAACCATTCCGTACAGCACGTTTGGAGCGGTTTGTTCCGCCAAATGGAACGCACTCTCTTAATGGAAAGCACTCGTATAACTGCTTGAGAAATTGTTTATCGCGTGGAGAAGGGTCTCCGTTTGATTTATCGACAAATTTCTGTGGTCGTAGAAAAGTCAAAATGCATCCAACGCTTTCAAGGTACGAGATAATTCGAATTCGAACGCTACTGAGATCTTCAATTTATTTAAATAATGTGTTCTAACTAGCAAACACTATTAAATAACTATTCGTAACATATTGATGTCACTTTTAAAATTCTAATTAGAGATGCACATTTTATCTAACTTTGTCTCTGGTTCCTTAAAACAGAAAGATCTTCTTTTCTCTGGATTTTTAACAATTTACTCACAGCACTCGAGAAAACGGGAACTCTCGATTTTTATGACCGACCCCTGTGGCCTTACAGAAATTCTTAACGGGACGGCACGCTCGTTAACGTCGATACGTATGACCATTCGATATGTTCGCGCCCCTCGCGTAAGTAAATCAGACGTCGCACCGATGCTGCGCGAGGGAACTCTTGTATCACAGCAGGCTCTTTTCTTAACTCGTTCGCCAATGCCAGTAACAAATCAGATACTTATCTTAACATATTGGTTACACTTTCATTACTTTCGACGCGGGGTAATACGATTTTGCGATCTTACTACAAATTGGATTCCGTGTTACGTCAACTCGATCGAGTTCCAGTGAATAAGACTGTAATTATATGCGCAAAAAAGTACACGTGAGTGCCACGAAATGTACTCGCGAGATAAAATGGAAAAGTGTGTCTCAGAAGTGCAGCTTCATGATTATTAATGCGTTAATCATCTTGGGTAGGAATGCAGGTAAAGATAAGTGGCTTATCAAAAGTGTACGATCAAATCAAGGCTATCTGATTCGTCATGCTACGTTCGGATACACCTTCATTAGGATTCTCCAAACCGATCGCTAACAGTGAGATAAGCGAGACACATAGCTTTGTCAAGAAGTTATCTGCGATAATAACCAATTAGTCGATAACGAGCCTATTTCACCAATCTTGCTAGATCACAAGCGAATCAAAATCAACCTCTGACACGTTCACTATCGTCTACAACAAAGGGATATCCATTACACGTGCGCAGTATCTATTTGTTGGCATTTGTACGTGAACTTCATCGATTATAAACGATATGTTATCAACTCCGGCCTATCAGATTAACTGGACTATTTTAAGCAATCAGATACGATAAACGTTATTTTTTACTACGCTATAAGAAAGCAATAATGAAATTTTATGCTACAAATACAGATTTTGCGTTTTGCTATACCGAAGAAATATTTATATGTATATGATCGCTTTCGTTGATTAACACCTGTTCCCATTTAATAGACAATTTAAATATTACTACCTGCAGGGTGAAAGGTATTCGCGAATCAACCCAATCAATCCTCTTTAAAAAATTCTTCGCATCGAGTGGCATCGATTTCGCCTAGTTCTATCCATTCGTTTCAATGGAGAGAGCGAACGTTCCCGCTAACAAAATTCCCACTTATACCCCGAGTTCCCGCGTCATTTCGAAGAAATTGTCCGACTTCCCGTTGCTGCCTCCGGCCACGGGGAATTCCGTCGGAGAATCTCGCAGCGATCCCCCAGGTTGAACATATCGAATCGTTCCTCAGAGCACCGTGAAATGACGCAATCTCATCGTCTGGCGTGAGCGCGAGCGGGGAACACCTGCGTTAGGCGCGTACGTATGCAAATCAACCAGGTATGTATACCTGCACAGGCCGCCACATCAGGCACCAATCTAACCCTCTCGTGCGTCGCGTATGCAAACATACGCGCCACCGGTGCCGCGAGCCCGCGTACGTGTGCCTCGACCGATCTGACAAATTGCAACGTCATTACTGCCAATTTGTTTACACGCCACCGGATAGCCGGCAACACGAGCCAGACACCTCGTGCCCGAGCACCTTAGTAGCTCTCCACGAGGATTCCCGAGTATTTATTAGGCGCATAAGTCAGCCTGATCGCGGCACCGATCGTACCACTTCGGCTCCAGCCGATCTCCGTGAAAGTTCCACGACTAATCTCCGACAAATGCGAATCTAACCTTTAGCGCGGTGTACCTGGATTGAAAAAAAGAAACGTTTCTTTCTTGCTACGAAACAGCTCGCGATTATCCTTGCGGTTCTCGGGGGCTTCGTGACTTTAGCGGTCGGTATCCGGACACAGGGGGGCAGGATTCTCGATGATATACTTGGAGAGCCGTGGAGACTTTGGGTTGTTTGATACTTGGTCAGATTTAACACATTCGAAGTCATTGCAATTTCCAAAAATTTCCAAACATACCACGCTTAATATTCCACTCTAAAATACCTTTCATTTTTTAACTCAAAATTAACTTTGCACCAAGTCAGCCTGTTTCGAAAAAGGAGCAAATAATTGCTGCATTTAGCGCGAACGGATCAACCAGCACGCTTCCCCTCCGTCGGCCTTTTTTTTACCGAGCAGCTCCGCCAAAGTTCCCAGTCAGAGGGGATGAAAACGCCCCGAAGGTTTCGATGGTCGTGGAGGCGCGAGGTGGTGTATCAAATTAATCTTCGTCGAAGCACGGAGCTTGATAATCCATTTAATCGGCAATATCGAGGGAAAGAGAGGCGGTTTCAGCGAAAAAGCGACAGAGGCGTCGAATGTGCACACGCGTCTGAGAAGCTTCGGATGGCGCACTTTCGCACAGGCAAACCCGTCGAATCGAAATTCAAGCGACGAAAAAAAACGACGGGGTGTTTGTAGGCATCGTCGCCACCCCATCTCCTGTCTCTCTACCCATTCAATTACAAAGTGATCAACGTCCAGCACCTCGGCAACACGGTTAACGACTCCAGATGGAGAGCTTTGTACGGCTTCTCGCAGTTTCCATTCGCGCCTCGCGCGGCACCCGTTCACGCTCGCGAGCGCGCGCACGCTTGTTTCACGATAACGCGCGAACCTGTTACCCCGGTTTCTTTGAAACCTTTTTCTGCTCGATCGGGACCGCCTCGCGTTATCCGAATTGAATGGCGAACGCGATTACCGGTCTCTGTGCGCGTATCCCGTCCACGGTGGTGAGAAGTTCTTTACGCAGTTTAAATATTTGCATTGCGTGCAATTAAAAGGATTCAATGGAGGACTCTTCCTTTGCTCGCGACGGTCGTCGAAAGTGGATGGAAACTTGGTCTTTGGACCAACGAACGGTAGAATTTTTTATCGGTGGTGAGTTAATGTATTCGTACTTACTAACGACGTGATAATATAGTTTATTTAGTTAGCAATATTTATAACCAAATTTGTACCAGCCGCCCTTAGGACGCCCAAACACCCCCTCGAATCCTGCGACGACAGCCGAAGAGAAATAAGAAGAGACTCGCGGAAAGAAACAAGAAAGAAAAGAGGGTGGCCGCGATGAAGGAGAAACGAGCGTCGCGACTTAGCGACTTTTCAGGTAACAAACTGCAAATATCTAGACTGCGGCTGTAGGATGACGTTAATTAATATTGCCGACGGTACAGAGTGTCGGCCACGGAGGGGGGGGGGGGGGGGGGGGGAAGGATGGTTAAAGAAGTCTATCCAAGCCGGAGGACAGCCGAGGGACGAAAGGAGACGAAGAAGAAGGGATCAGGGATTATGAGCGAGCGAGAGGGAAAGAGGGCGGCGGGGGTAGGGCCATAGGCGGCGAAGAGAGAAAGGACGAGGGAGGTCTGAGTTTTTATCATCTCTCCCTCTCGACTCGATTCAGTTAAACTTTGAAATAACCCCTTAATGAGTCTGCCGTGCCGAGTAGACCGGATGCCAACGAAGCTCCCAGATTTTCCTCTCTTTCTCCCTGTCCCTCTTTTCCCACTTTCGTTCCATTTCTGCCCGCCATTCGCCCCCTCCCCTTCCACCCCCTGGCATGGCGTCCTTCCACCCCCTCAACCCGTCGCGCTCGGCCGAGACTACGATCTCGATTATTGCAGAGCTCGTGTCGCTTTATGAATTCGCTTTATGCACCCCCGGACGCTTAAACTGCATTAGGTTCGCTCGCGACAGACGCGATTTCGTGTTTGCTTTGGGCGTTAACGACCAGCCTGGCGTTTTCGTACAGGCGAACGAGAGAGCAGGGGACAGAGAAGGAGAGAAAAAAATCGATTTGGTCTTTCGAGAAATTGCGGATCCACGCGGCGACCGGTGATCGCTGCAGAAGAAAATTTTCTTGAAAACGGCGCGTTTCTTATAATTTTGTAATTTCGTGTATGGAGGGAACGGTCTGCGATGTTATTTTTATCAGCGTGGTCTGCGCGAGAGGTTCTTACTATTCAAGAATTTCGAGAAACCAAATCAAAGAAGCTATCGAGTAAAATACACATACGCTGTTCACTTGAAGCTGACGATGTAATTATTTTTCAGCGAGACAGTCTCAGTTTTGACATAATTGTGACGTAAATTGTGCAACGTAACGTCCTCAGAAAACGCTTTAATTGCAACCGTTTTCGCTTATACGTTCCGCTGCATTCTTCTTTCTCGCTCTTTTTTCAGAAATAGAGCAGATGGTTGGAAAATTTCCCGCTTA